CTTTTTTTTATTTAATTGTCTTGTTTTCAGTATAAATAAGTCTTTGGTCAAATTTATTCCTACGTATTTTCTTCTTTTTGATGCTAATATTAATGCGTTTTTAAATTTCATTTTCATTGCTAGTGTATAGAAACATAATTGATTTTTGTATATTTATCTTGTACCCTAAAAGATCACTGAACTTGTTTATTTTAATCATTTTTAGTGCATTCTTTAGGATTAACTATGTGTATACAAGATCATGTTATCTATAACTATCATTTTCTTTCTTCCAATCTGGATGACTTATTTCTTTTTTCTTTTTCTTTTTTGCCCTGACTAGAACTTTGGTACAATTTTCAATAGAAGTTGTAAGAGTGGATCTTGTCTTGTTTTTGATCTTAAGGGGGATAGCATTCTGTTTTGACCATGATGTTAGCTGTGAATTTTTCATAGATGCTCTAATAGGTTGAGGGAATTCCCTTCTGTTCCTTGTTTATTGAATGTTTTTATTTTGAAATGGTATTGGATTTTGTCAAATCATTTTTTGAGACTTGAGATAATTAAATGGGTTTTATCTTCTCTTCTGTTTATGCGGTGTAGTATATTGATTGATTTGTAGATGTTATATCAGCCTTGCATTTGTAGTATAAATTCTACTTGGTAATATACTCAGTGTATATTCCTTTTTACATGCTGCAGGATTCAACTGTTAGTATTTTGTTGAGGATTTAAAAAACCTATATTATAAGGGATATTAGTCAATAGTTTTATTGTGATGTCTTTGTCTGGTTTTCGAATGAGAGTAATACCAAAGTCATAGAATGATGTGGCAAGTGTTCTTTTCTCTTCAGTTATTTGGAAGAATTTGTGATTGATTGGTACTAATTCTACTTTAAATGTTTGATAAAATTCACCAGTGGAGCCATTTGGACTTGGTATTTCTTAGTGGGAAGTTGGAAGCTTTAAATTTTGTATTATCATATTCATCTGACTTTTTATTTATTGTTATTTTGGTCATACATACATAGAAGCCTAACCTGCAGTTTCCTTATCAAAAGATGTAAAATATTTGTGCCTGGCCGGTGTAGCTCAGTGGTTGAGCGTTGACCTACGAACTAGGAGGTCATGGTTCAATTCCTGGTCAGGGCACAGGCCTCAGGTTGTGGGTTCGATCTCCAGTAGGGAGTTGTAAAGGAGACAGCGATCAATGATGTTTCTCTTCATTGATGTTTCTATCTTTATATCCGTCTCCCTTCCTTTCTCTCTAAAAATCAATAAAAAAAAAATTAAAAAAAAATTTTAAAGATGTAAATATTTTGTCCTGACCAGTTTGTCTCAGTGGCTAGAGCGTCGGCCTGTGGACTGAAGAGTCCCAGGTTCGATTCCAGTCAAGGGCATGTACCTTGGCTGCGGGCACAACCCCAGTAGGGGGTGAGCAGGAGGCTCTGATCGATGTTTCTAACTCTCTATCCCTCTCCCTTCCTCTCTGTAAAAAATCAATAAAATATATTTTATTTTATTTTTTAAAATATATTTTATTGATTTTTATAGAGAGGAAGGGAGAGGGCAGAGAGTTAGAAACATCGATGAGAGAGAAACATCCATCAGCCGCCTCCTGCACACTCCCCACTGGGGATGTGCTCGTAACCAAGGTACATGCCCTTGACCGGAATCGAACCTGGGACCCTTGAGTCTGCAGGCTGACGCTCTATCCACTGAGCCAAACCGGCCAGGGCTAATAAAATATATTTTTAAAAAAGATGTAAATATTTGTAAATAATGCAATCAGTAGGAGTTACAAATTTCTCATAACATTTAATATGGTGTAACATTCATACGTAATCATTTCTTGAACTCTCATGGCACTTTCTATATCTCTTAAGTGACTTTGTGTGTACTTATTTTTTTTTAATTGAATTTATTGGGGAGACATTGGTTTGCATAATCATACATGTTTCAAGTGTACAACTCAATAAAGCATCATGTGCACAAACCAAAGGACTTGTATGCTTGTATATAATCATAACCCATGGTCACAGACAGTAGGGGGGTGAGGGCATGTGCTGGGGGTGGATGTGGCCGGAGAGAGGTCAGTGGGGGAAAAAAGAGACATATGTAATACTTTAAACAATAAAGAATTAAAAACAACAACAAAAATCATGTGCACACTGCATTGTGCCCGCATTGGCAAGAAAAATCTTTTTCTGTCCCCATTTCCCTCCCGCTTTGTCCACCTCCACCTACCTACATCACTCTTTCCCTCTGGTTAATACCACACTATTGTCTGTGTCTATGCCATGTAGAGTCCCCCGCCCCATCCCCTCTGACAGCTGCCAGTCTGTTTTGTATATCCATGCCTCTGTTTCTATTTATTTGTTTGTCAGTTTATTTTATTCATTAGATTCCAAATATAAGTGAGATCATATCATATGGTATTTGTCTTTGGCTTATTTCACTTAGCATTATAATTTCTAGGTCCATCTGTGCTGTTGCAAAAGGTAAGATTTCCTTTTTTTTAATGGCTGAGTAGTATTCCATTATGTAAATGTACCACAGCTTTTTTATCCACTCATCTACTGATGGGCATCTACTGATGGGCATTGGCGCTCTTTCCAGATCTTGGCTATCTATCTATATAAAGCCTAAGTGACTGTTGGACCGTTTGACTGGTGGCTGTGATGCACACTGACCACCAGGGGGCAGACACTCAATGCACAGGCATGGAAACATGGAACAGACTGATGAATCTTGGAAAGAGGGAGAAGGGAGGGCGGGAAGAGATTAACAAAGATTTTATATGTATACTAGAGGCCCGGTGCACGGATTTATGCACTGGTGGGGTCCTTGGATTGGCCTTCAAGGATTGGGCTGAAACCTGCAGTCCGACATCCCCTGAGGGTTCCCAGATTGCGAGAGGGCACAGGCCAGGCTGAGGGACCCCACTGGTGCACGTGCACTGGGCCTCTAGTTGTAAATAACACTGCAGTGAACATAGGGTTGCACATATTCTTTCCAGTTAGTATTTTGGGTTTCTTTGGGTATATTCCCACAAGTCAAACGGCAGTCCCATTTTTAATTTTTTGAGGAAACTACATACCAGTACTTGTTTCCCACAGTGGCTGCTACAGTCTTCATTCCCACCAGCAGTGCATGAGGGTTCCCCTTTATCCACATCCTCGCCAGCACTTGTTTATTTATTAGTGATAGCCATTCTGACAGGTGGGAGGTGATATCTCATTGTGGTTTTAATTTGCATCTCTCTGATGATTAGTCACATTGAGCATTTTTTTCATATGTCTCTTGGCCATCTGTGTGTTCTCTGGAGAAGTTTCTATTTAGGTCCTTTGCCCATTTTTAAATTGGGTTGTTTGTCTTGATGTTGAGTTGTATAAGTTCTTTATATATTTTGGAAAATTAAGCCCTTGTCAGAAGTATAATTGGCAAATATGTTCTGTTCAGTGGGTTCCCTTCTCATTTTGCTGTTGGTTTCTTTTGCTGTGCAAAAGCTTTATAGTTTAGTCCCATTTGTTTCTTTTTTCCTTTGTTTCTCTCGCCCATGGAGAAATAAGATATAAATATTTGTAAATAATGCAATCAGTAGGAGTTACAAATTTCTCATATAACATTTACCATGGTGTAACAATCATACATAGTCATCCTTTCCTGAACTTAAAAATATTCCTACAAGAAATGCCTGAAATTTTACTGCCTATGTTTTCTAGGATTTTTATGGTCATGTGACTTATATTTAAGTCTTTAACCCATTTTGAGTTTATTCTTGTGTATGGTGTAAGTTGGTGGTCTAGTTTGATTTTTTTGCATGTATCTGTTCAGTTTCCTTAGAACCATTTATTAAAGAAACTGTCTTTACTCCATTGTATGTTCTTGCCTCCTTTGTCAAATATTAATTGACCATATAGGTATGGGTTTATTTCTGGGCTCTGTTCTGTTCCGTTCATCTATGTGTCTGTTTTTAAAACCATTACCACGCTATTTTGATTACTAGAGCCTTATAGTATAGTTTCATATCAATCAGGTCTCATGATACCTCCAACCTTGTTCTTCTTTCTCAAGATTGCTGTGGCTATTATTTGCCATCTTTTGTGGTTCCATCTAAATTTTAGGATTATTTATCTGGTTCTGTGAAAAATGCTATTGGTATTTTGATAGGGATTGCATTGAATTATAGATTGCTTAGGGTATTATGGACATTTTAATGATGTTGATTTTTCCTATATATGAGCACAGTGTATGTTTCCATTTATTTGTATCCTTTTCAGTTTCTTTCTTCAGTGTCTTATAATTTTCCGAGTATATGTCTTTTATCTCCTTGGTTAAATTCCTACTTTTTTTGTTGTTGCAATAGTAAATTGGATTGTTTTCTTTATTTTTTAAAAAAAGATCTCTTAATTTCAGAGAGGAAGGGAGAGGGAAAGAGAGATAGAGACATCAATGATGAGCGAGAATCATTGATTGACTCCCTCCTGCACGTCCCCCACTGGGGATCAAGCCAGCAACCCGGGCATGTGCCCTTGACCGGAATCGAACCTGGGACCTAGGTCCGCAGACTGACGCTCTATTCACTGAGCCAAATCAGCTAGGGTTGCATTGTTTTCTTAATATCTTTCTGATAGTTCATTATTGGTGTATAAAAATGCCACTGATGGGAGATCCTGGACCAGCACGTGCTAACTGCGCCTGCTCGGCTATGCCCCCGAAGGTTTTGAAACATGCATCCTTCATTCTTCTTGATTGCCCTTTACTTAGGAATAGCTTCAGCTTCTCCAAAACTTGATGGAAGTTTAGAGGCACGATGGCACTAGTGGAAGGCAACACAGTATATGGCTTGAATGAAGAAGAATGGAGGAGAACAGTGTGGGAGAAGAATATGAAAATGATTGACCTGCACAACCAGGAATACAACCTAGGGAGACAGAGCTTCACCTTGGCAATGAATGCTTTTGGTGACATGACCAGAATTCACGTAGGTCAGTGGTCGGCAAACTGCGGCCCCTTGAGTGTGGCTCTTCCACAAACTACCACGTGTGGGTGCACACGTACAGTGCGATTGAAACTTCGTGGCCACACTCTAGGGGCCAAAGAGTCACATGTGGCTAGCGAGCCGCAGTTTGCCGACCACTGATGTAGGTGATGAATGGCCATCAAAATCAGAAGCACAAGAAAAGGAGAGTGTTCTGGGAACCATACATTGTTGAAATCCCCCCAACTGTGGATTGGAGAGAAGAAGGCTATGTAACTCCCATGAAGACCCTGAGTCACTGTGGTTCTTGTTGGGCAGTAAGTGCAACTGTTGCCCTTGAAGAACAGATGTTCCAGAAAACTGGCAGACTTATCTCATTGAGTGAGCAGAACCTTGTGGACTGCTCTCAGGCTCAAGGCAGTGAGGGCTGCAATGGTGGCCTAATGGATAATGCTTTTCAGTATGTTAAGTCCAATGGATGCCTGGACTCAGAGGAGTCCTGTCCATATCATGCAAAGGTTGGACCCTGCAAATACAGGTCCGAGGATTCTGTTGCCAATGACACTGGCTTTGTGGACATCCCTGAGCAGGAGAGTGCCCTCATGAAGGCAGTGGCAACCGTGGGGCCCATCTCTGTTGCTGTAGATGCAAGCCATCTTAACTTCTGGTTCTGTGAAGATGGCATTTATTATGAGCGGCACTATAGCAGCGTAGATCTAGATCATAGCATACTGGTGGTTGGCTATGGCTTTGAAGAAGAAGAATCAAGTAACAATAAATATTGGATTGTCAAAAACAGCTGGGGTGAAGCTTGGGGCAAAAGTGGCTGCATAAAGATGGCCAAAGACCGGAACAACTACTGTGGAATCGCCACCACGGCCAGCTATCCTACTGTGTGAGATGATGGTGATAAAGAAAGACTTGATTGAGAACAAGATATCCAGAGAAGGAATTTTTATTTTAAAACTGACCACATTTTACTTAATGGGATACAACACTTCAATCTTGAAGATCCAAACTGTTATTTGAATTCTGTGATGTTTACATTGGTAAAATGTTATTTCTTTTATATAAGGATGTATAAATTTTTACCTTTTAAAATAAAAATTTTTATTACTTTTAATCCTAAAAAAAAGCCACTGATTTTTGAATATTAATTTGTATCTTGCTACTTGCCAAATTCATTTATTAGATCTATAGTTTTTTAGTGGACTCTTTAGGGTTTTCTATGTATAATATCATGTCATCTGCAAATGATGACAGTTTTATTTTCTTCTTTCAAATTTGGGTGCCTTTTATTTCTTCTCATCTGACTGCTATGGCTAGTACTTCCAGTGCGATGTTGAATAAGAGTGGTGAAAGTGGACATCCCTGTCTTGTTCCTGATCTTAAGGGAAATGCTTTTAGATTTTGCCCATTGAGTAAGATGTAGGCTTTGGGTTTGTTCTATGTGGTGGTCTTTATTATGTTGAGGTATAATCTCTCTATTACCACTTTGCTAAGAGTTTTTATTAAAATGGTTGCTGGATTTTATCAAATGCTTTTTCTGCATCTAATGATATGATCATATGATTTTTATCCTTCATTTTGTTTATGTGATGTATCACATTTATTGATTTGTAAATATTATACCAATCTTGCATCCCCAGAATAAATTCTATTTGGTCATGGTATATAATCCTTTTAATGTATTGCTAGATCTGGTTTGCTAATATTTTGTTAGGATTTTAGCATCTGTGTTCATCAGGGATATTGGCTATATCGTTTTCTTTCTTTGTAGTATCTTTATCTGGTTTTGGAATTAGGATAATGCTGGCCTCATAAAAGAGCTTGGAAGTCTTCCCTCCTTTTGAATTTTTTGGAATAATTTGAGAAAGTGATTTTTTAAAAAAAAAATTTTTTTTATTGATTTCATAGAGGGAGGGGGAGGGGGAGGGAGAGAGAGAAACATCAATGATGAGAGAGAATCCTCGATCCTCTGGTTCCTGCATGCCCCCTACTGGGGATCAAGCCCACAACCCAGGCATGTGCCCTGGCTGGAAATTGAACTGTGACCTCCTGGTTCATAGGTTGACACTCAGCCATTGAGCCACACCCACTGGGCTAGGTGTTAGTTCTCCAAATGTTTGGTAAAAGTCACCTGTGGAACCATCCAGTCCAAGACTTTGTTTACTGGTATTACTGCTTCAATTTCATTAGTTGTAATCAGTCTATTAAGGTTTTCTGACTCTTCCTGTTTCAGTTTTAGAAGATTGTATGTTTCTAGGATTTCATCCATTTCGCCCAGCTTGTCCAATTTGTTGGCGTGTGTGTGTGTGTGTGTGTATTAGAGGCCCATTGCACAAAAATTTGTGCACTCGGGGGAGGGGGGGGTCCCTCAGCCCGGCCTGTGCCCTCTCGCAGTCTGGGACCCCTCGGGGGATGACCACCTGCTGGCTTAGGCCCGCTCCCTGGGGGGAACGGGCCTAAGCTGGCAGTCAGACATCCCTCTGGCAGCCCGGCAGCCCTCAGGGGATGTCCACTTGCAATCGGGGAGCAGACCTAAGCTGCAGTCGGACATCCTCAGTGCTGCTGAGGAGGCGGGAGAGGCTCCCGCCACCACCGCTGTACTGGCAGCCATCAGCCTGGCTTGTGGCTGAGCAGAGCTCCCCCATGTGGGAGCGCACTGACCACCAGGGGGCAGCTCCCGCATTGAGCATCTGCCCCCTGGTGGTCAGTGTGTGTCATAGTGACCAGTCATTCCCAGTCGTTCTGCTGTTAGGGTCAGTTTGCATATTACCCTTTTACTATATAGGATAGAGGCCTGGTGCACGGGTGGGGGCTGGCTGGTTTGCCCTGAAGGGTGTCCCGGATCAGGGTGGGGGTCCCGCTTAGGTTCCTGGCCAGACTGGATGAGGGGCTGATGGCTGTTTTCAGGCTGGCCACACCCCCTTTAGGGTGGGGGTCCCCACTGGGGTACCTGGCCAGTCTGGGTGAGGGGCTGAGGGCCGTTTTCAGGCTGGCCGGCGACTGAAGCTCCCAGCCTCTCCTTTTTTTCTTTCTTTTTTTTTTAATTCTGGGATTTATTTACCTTCTATAATTGAAACTTGGTTGCCGTCACTGGAGCTGAGAGCCACTCCTGCTCCCTCCAGCTCTGAGGCCACAGCCTGCTGAAAGCAGGTATCTGGGGTTTGTTTAGCTTCTATAATGGAAACTTTGTTGCCGTCACTGGAGCTAAGAGCCGGCTCCAGCTCCGTGGCCACGGCTGGCTGAAAGCAGGTATCTGGGGTTTGTTTAGCTTCTATAATTGAAACTTTGTTGCTTTCAGAGCTCAGAGCCAGGCTGCAGCAGGCGGGGAACCTTGGCTTCCTCCATCACTGGAGCAAACAAGCTTCCTGCTTGCTTCAGCTGCATGGCTGCCGGGCGCCATCTTGGTTGGGTTAATTTGCATATCGTGCTGATTAGCCAATGGGGGGGGGCGTAGCGAAGGTATGGTTAATTACCATGTTTGTCTATTATTAGATAGGATATACACACACACGTGTGTGTGTGTGTGTGTGTGTGTGTGTGTGTGTGTGTGTGTGTATATATATATATATGACTTCAGAGATGAATGGAGAGGGAGGGAGAGATAGAAACATTAATGATGAGAGAGAATCTTGATTAGCCACTCCATGCACACCCTCCTCCAGGGTTCGGAGCTTGCAACCTGGGCAGTGTGCCCCAACCCAGAATCAAACTTGATGCTCAACCAATGAGTCTCCATGTATTTGAATGTTTTTCAGGTGTTTTTTTTTTATTGTAATTGACAGCAAGTTTTATAACATTGTGGTCAGAGAAGATGTTTTATGTGATTTCAGTCTTCTTGAATTTATAAACTTATTTGGTGTCCTAGCATGTGGTTTATTTTTGTTTGTTTGTTTGTTTATCTTTGAGAATGTCCCATGTGCATTTGAGTAGAATGTATATTCTGCTGCTTTGGGATGTAATGTTCCGTAAATATAAATTAAACCCATCTGACCCAGTGTGTCATTTAAGGTTACTATTGCCTTGTTCACTTTTTAATTTTTTTTGCTGATAAAAAAGGTATTTATTTATTTATTTATTTATTTTAATATATTTTTATTGATTTCAGAGAGGAAGGGAAAGGGAGAGATAGAAACATCAATGATGATGCCGATACCGATTTGACTCAGTGGATAGAGCGTCGGCCTGCGGACTGAAAGGTCCCAGGTTCGATTCCGGTCAAGGGCATGTGCCTGGGTGCGGGCACATCCCCAGTGGATGGTGTGCAGGAGGCAACTGATCAATGTTTCTCTCTCATCGATGTTTCTGACTCTCTGTCTCTCTCCCTTCTTCTCTGTAAAAACTCAATAAAATATATTTTAAAAAAAGAAAAAAAAAGAAACATCAATGATGAGAATCATCGATTGGCTGCCTTCTGCATGCCCTCTACTGGGGATGGAGCCCGCAAACAAGGCATATGTCCTTGACTGGAATAGAACCCGGGACCCTTTAGTCCTCAGGCTGATGGCTGTATCCACTGAGCCAAACCAGCTAGGGCAAAATGTTTTTTTGTTTTTTTTTAATTGTTTTATTGCTTGAAATATTACAAAGTATTACATATGCCTCCTTTTTTTCCCGCCCTTAACAATCTCCCGACCTCCCCTACCCCCCAGTGTCTTATGTCCATTGGTTATGCTTATATGCATGCATATAAGTCCTTCGGTTGATCTCTTATCCCCCCCTCCCCCCTGCCCCTCAACCCTCCCCGGCTTTCCCGCTATAGTTTGACAGTTTGAGGCAGCTCTGCCTCTGTATCTATTTTTGTTCATAAGTTTATAATGGTCTTTATTATCCATGAGTGAGTGAGATCATGTGGTGTTTTTCCTTCATTGACTAGCTTATTTCATTTAGCATAATGCTCTCTAGTTCCATCCATGCCATTGCAAATGGGAAGAGTTCCTTCTTTTTTACAGCGGCATAGTATTCCATCCTGTAGATGTACCACAGTTTTCTAATCCATTCATCTACTGATGGGCACTTAGGCTGTTTCCAGATCTTAGCTATGGTGAATTGTGCTGCTATGACATAGGGGTGCATATATCCTTTCTGATTGGTGTTTCTGGTTTCTTGGAATATATTCCTAGAAGTGAGATCACAGGGTCAAATGGGAGTTCCATTTTTAGTTTTTTGAGGAAACTCCATACTGTCTTCCATAGTGGCTGCACCAGTCTGCATTCCCACCAGCAGTGCATGAGTGTTCCTTTTTCTCAACATCCTCTCTAGCACTGGTCGTCTGTTGATTTGTTGATGATAGCCAGTCTGACAGGTGTGAGATGGTACCTCATTGTTGTTTTGATTTGCATCTCTTGGATAATTAGTGACTTTGAGCATGTTTTCATATGTCTCTTGGCTTTCTGAATGTCCTCTTTTGAAAGGTGTCTATTTAGATCCTTTGCCCATTTTTTGATTGGATTGTTTATCTTCCTTTTGTTAAGTTGTATGAGTTCCCTATAAATTTTGGAGATTAGGCCCTTATCAGATATAACATTGGCAAATATGTTTTCCCACCCAGTGGGCTTTCTTGTTGTTTTGTTGATGGTTTCTTTTGCTGTGCAAAAGCTTTTTATTTTGATGTAGTCCCATTTGTTCATTTTCTCTTTAGTTTCCAATGCCCTAGGAGCTGTATCGGTGAAGAAATTGCTTCGGCATATGTCTGAGATTTTGTTGCCTTTGGATTCTTCTAGTATTTTTATGGTTTCCCATCGTACATTGAAGTCCTTTATCCATTTTGAGTTTATTTTTGTGTCTGGTGTAAGTTAGTGGTCTAGTTTCATTTTCTTGCATGTATCCATCCAATTTTCCCAACACCATTTATTGAAGAGACTGTCTTGACTCCATTGTATGTTCTTGCCTCTTTTGTCAAATATTAATTGAGCATATTGGTTCGGGCCGATTTCTGGGCTCTCTATTCTATTCCATTGATCTATATGTCTGTTCTCGTGCCAGTACCAGGCAGTTTTGAGAACAGTGGCTTTGTAATACAGCTTGATATCTGGTATTGAGATCCCACCTACTTTGTTCTTTCTCAGGATCACTGCAGCTATTTGGGGCCTTTTTTTATTCCAGATGAATTTTTGGATTGTTC